GGAAATAAAAGCTATTAGAAGGATTTTCAGCTTTATTCACGTTTTTCAACACACTGCTATTATTTTGAACACAACTGTACGTCTGTTTCTAGGAATGTAAAGAAGTATCCTTCCATCTCAACTACTGGCAATTCAGATATAGAAGACCTCATGAAATTGCATCTCCGGCTCGTGTGCTTGTCTCATTGTTTATTCTGAAAGCCTACACATTGCATTTTTTATGGATTACGGAAAATTACCGTCACCACCTCAAACAATTGCCGAGACCCGAGATCTACACCGAGGACATTTCAAAGTGGAATATAACATCCCTCCATGGCGGAATGGGTGTCAGGTGACTTGGAGCTGGAGGAAACTCTTGGCCACCACAACAATCGTTAATGACACGGCTTTCATCTTCTCGGAGGGAGGAGGCAACGTGCGATAATTAGACGTGGAATCATAGGCTGACTGAGATACTTCGCTTTGATGTTCATGAGATCTATCAGCTCCACTAAGCAGAGGTATTCGGAGACATCACAGGAGGTACGAGAGATGCCTCCTAATGTCACTCCTTCATCTGGACCATGCCTTACATTTCAATCAGAAACGTTCCTTTCTGCGGTGCGGAGCTTCCTCTGTATTTCCCTGATATTTGCTGGTCAGATAACGTGTTGTGTGCCGCCGGCATATCCTATAGTGTGCAGAACCAGGAGGATCCCCAGGTAGATGGTACTCTGCAATGGGAAACCTGAGCCTGGGAAAATGTATACAACCACCGTGATGACATTAATGTCACATCAGAAGTCCCCCTTCACATCAGAGGTCCCCCATCACATCAGAGGTCCCCCCATCACATCAGAAGCCTCCCTTCACATCAGAAGTCCCCCATCACATCAGAGGTCCCCCCATCACATCAGAGGTCCCCCATCACATCAGAGCCCCCATTCACATCAGAGGTCCCCCATTACATCAGAGGTCCCCCATCACATCAGAGCCCCCATTCACATCAGAGGTCCCCCATCACATGAGAGGTCCCCCATCACATCAGAGGTCCCCCCATCACATCAGAGGTCCCCCATCACATCAGAGCCCCCATTCACATCAGAGGTCCCCCATTACATCAGAGGTCCCCCATCACATCAGAGCCCCCATTCACATCAGAGGTCCCCCCATCACATCAGAGGTCCCCCCATCACATCAGAAGCCTCCCTTCACATCAGAAGTCCCCCATCACATCAGAGGTCCCCCCATCACACCAGAGGTCCCCCATCACATCAGAGCCCCCATTCACATCAGAGCCCCCATTCACATCAGAGGTTCCCCATCACATCAGAGGTCCCCCATCACATCAGAGGTCCCCCATCACATCAGAGCCCCCATTCACATCAGAGGTCCCCCATCACATCAGAGGTCCCCCATCACATCAGAGGTCCCCCATTACATCAGAGGTCCCCCATCACATCAGAGCCCCCATTCACATCAGAGGTCCCCCATCACATCAGAGGTCCCCCATCACATCAGAGGTCCCCCCATCACATCAGAAGTCTCCCTTCACATCAGAGGTCCCCCTATCACATCAGAAGTCTCCCTTCACATCAGAGTTCCCCTTCACATAAGAGGTCCCCCATTACATCAGAGCTCCCCTTCACATCAGAAGTCTCCCATCACATCAGAGGTCCCCTCCATAACATTAGAGGTTCCCCATCACATTAGAGGTCCCCCCTATAACATCAGACCCCCCCATAACATCATAGGCCCCTCTTTACATCAGAGGTCCTCTCATCACATCAGAACCCCCCTTCACATCAGAGGTTCCCCCATAACATCAGAGCCCCCTCTTTACAGAGGTCCCCCATAACATCAGAGGTCCCCTTATCAAGTCAGAGCCCCCCTTCACATCAGAGCCCCCCATCATATTGGAGGTCCCCTCATCACATCAGATCACCCTCTTTACAATAGAGGTCCCCCATCACATCAGAGACCCTTTTTTACATCAGAGCCCCCCTTCACATCAGAGGCCCCCTCACCACATCTGAGTCCCCCCATCATATTGGAGGTCCCCCCATTTCATATGATCCCCCTCTTTACAATAGAGGTCCCCCATCACATCAGAGCCTCCACCATCACGTCAGAGGTCCTTCCATCACAACAGAGCCCCCTCTTTACATCAGAGCCCCCCTTCACATCAGAGGCCCACCATCACATCAGAGGCCCACCATCACATCAGAGCCCCCCCCCCCCCATCATATTGGAGGTCCCTTCACCAAATCAGATCTCTCTTTACAATAGAGGTCCCTCATCACATCAGAGCCTCCGCCATCACGTCAGAGGTCCCCCCATCAAAACAGAGCCCCCTCTTTACATCAGAGGTTCCCCCATCATGTCAGAGGCCAACCATCACATCAGAGTCCCTCTTTACATCAGAGCCCCCCCATCACATTGGAGGTCCCCTCATCACATCAGAACCCCCTCTTTACAATAGAGGTCCCCCATCACATCAGAACCTCCGCCATCACATCAGAGGTTCCCCCATCACATCAGAGTCCCCTCATCACATCAGAGCCTCCCTTCACACCAGAGGTCCCCCATCACATCAGACCCCCTCCAAACACATTGGAGGTCCCCTCATCACATCAGATCCCCCTCTTTACAATAGAGGTCCCCCATCACATCAGAGCTCCCACCATCACATCAGAGGTCCCCCCATCACATCAGAGCCCCCTCTTTACATCAGAGGTCTCCCCATCATGTCAGAGGCCAACCATTACATCAGGGCCCCTCTTTACATCAGAGTCCCCCTTTATATCAGAGGTCCCTCCATTACATCTGAACCCCCTCTTTACAGTAGGGGTCCCTCTTCATGTCAGAAGCCAGCCATCACATCAGAGTCTCTTCTTCAAATTAGAGTCTCCCTTAATGTAAGAGGCCCCACAGAACATCAGAGTCCAGGCCCTATGTCCATGAACCTCCCTGTCACATCAGAGTCCCCCATCACATAGCCCCCCCTTTAAAAGGGCACCCCAGTCACAAAGGCCTCCCATCTCAGAGTACCCCAACCACCACGCAGTCTTAACTTCACATCATAGCCCTACCATTTGGCTTCAGCAGCATGGCAGAGGGTGGGCTCCTCCAGATCAGACTTCCATCCTCTCCTGAATGCTGGGTGGCTCTGGATACCACCTTCCCCAGATTGGAGTCATGCGTTGTCATTGTGTAGGCCAGCAGGCTGCTGTCACTATAGCAACAAATGTTGCCATGTGTCCTGGCCCTAGAGCTTCATTGGTATCTATGGTGGCTGGTCCAGCTGCCCCATGGTCATGATCAGGGGCGGACTGACAACTCATGGGGCCTCCGGGCAATAGGGGATCATGGGGCCCCTGTGTCTTTGCCCAAACTCAAAAAAGCCTATGAAAAAGGTACCAGGGGCATCTCATGGGGCCCCCTACTGACCCCGGGCCCTCAGGCAGTGCCCGAGTTTCCAAATGGTCAGTCCTCCCCTGGTCATGATGCTGTTCTAGGGCAAACTGGGTTCCATGCTCATGGCACCCCAGGCAGTGGTGTATTAGGTTTTGTGCTGTCCTAGGCAACACATAAATTGGCACCCCCCCCCAGAAAGAGCCTGACATTGACCAAGAACACCCCTGCCCTCCACCCGAGCCTTCCATTTCCACTGCCCCCCATACACCAGCCACCGTCCCCCATGGCGAGAGAGAGAAAGACCCTTACCTTCACAGCTCCAGACATCCCCAGGAACAAGAGTCGGGCTGTGCATACACTGTCATGAAACCCACAGCATCTCCTGGAACCCACCAGGTCCCCATGCCGCATGTGTCCCTTCTTCCATCCCTTCTTCCAAGGGGCAGTGCTGCCCCCCCCCCCTGAAAAATGCTGCCCTAGACAAGTGCCTTGTTTGAATTGTGGTAAATACACCCTTGACCCCAGTGGAACCAAGATGGCACCTCGGTTGTGAAACATTGGTCCAGAGAGACTACTGCTTGTGCACAAAGTGCAAGGGTCTTTCTCTTCAGCACGCTGGCAGGGACCGGCTTTTTTTCACTTAGGCTGTGGCTGCTTTCTAAAGCTTTTTATGCACCTGAAATATATTTAGCTGACTCAGACTGAAAGTTCTTTTGGGCTTTAACTCCAAAATATAGATATCATTGAGGGCCGGCGCAGTACAATAATCAGCCGCTGTGTGTAATATAGTAGCAGCAGAATACAATTCCGTCAATGATTTGGAGACGCGGATTCTGCCTGACGACCTCGGCCTGGACGCGAAGCTCTGATTATATTCCAGAAAGTGAATGAGATCTCGTTATTACAGACCTGCGAAGGGCGCCTTGGGAATCAGCGGGATGGCTGAGCATCTAGTTAGCGCCTATTTGTGAAGCTGTAAATAATCTGGAATTTGTTCAGAATACAGAAGTTGTCACCGAACACTCTCCAGACCATAACAAGGAACCTACAAGGTACGCGGCAATCTCACTTACTGGAATTCCAAAGCATTTAGTTCAGGGTTGAGACTGAATATTCTTTATCTGTACCGGAATATAGACATGAACATGATCGTCAGGTATCACATATACACCCAACAAATGTATTATTGATGCTTATGACTGGGGGCGTCATGGCAGATTCCAGTCTCTGATATTTTCACATTGAAGATATTTGTATTATTAAGAAGAACCTCAGCTAAGCTCCGTTCTGTATTTCAGTGGGGATGCATAATGAATGAATAACATGATATCTGAAGAAAGAAAATAAAACAAACTTTTGGTGACCACATTCTAAGGCAGCCATTCCCAACCAGGTTTCTATAGGACCGTAGGGTTCCTGCAGGGGGTTGCTTGGGATTCCTTGAACTGTGGCTGATTGACCTCCCATCCAATGATGTCTGCATAATTCCGGGTGCAAAGCTTTATGGCAGAGTCATCAGCTGATGCCAATGATGTTTTTGGCTGTCGGCAAGGAGAACATTTTGACCACAGTTGTAAGGGGGCAATGATCGCACTGACCACTACTGTAAAGGGGGCATTCTTCCCACTGATCACCAATGTAAGGTATATTCTTCCCACTGACCCCCACTGTAAGGGACATTCTTCCCACTGACCCCCACTGTAAGGGACATTCTTCTCACTGATCACCAATGTAAGGGACATTCTTCCCACTGACCCCCAATGTAAGGGACATTCTTCCCACTGATCACCAATGTAAGGGGCATTCTTCCTACTGATCACCAATGTAAGGGATATTCTTCCCACTGACCCCCAATGTAAGGGACATTCTTCCCACTGATCACCAATGTAAGGGACATTCTTCCTACTGATCACCAATGTAAGGGATATTCTTCCCACTGACCCCCAATGTAAGGGACATTCTTCCCACTGACCCCCAATGTAAGGGACATTCTTCCCACTGATCACCAATGTAAGGGATATTCTTCCCACTGACCCCCAATGTAAGGGACATTCTTCCCACTGACCCCCAATGTAAGGGACATTCTTCCCACTGACCCCCAATGTAAGGGACATTCTTCCCACTGATCACAAATGTAAGGGACATTCTTCCCACTGACCCCCAATGTAAGGGACATTCTTCCCTCTGATTACCAATGTAAGGAACATTCTTCCCACTGACCACCAATGTAAGAAACTTTTTTTCTCACTGACCACCAATGCAAGGAGCATTCTTCCCAATGACTTTCAATGTAAGGAACATTCTTTCCACTGGTCACAACTGTAAAAGGGGGCATTCTTCCCACTGATCAACAATGTAAGAAGTGTTTTTTCTCATTGACCACCAATATAAGGAACATTCTTCCCTCTGACCCCCAATCTAAGGGACATTCTTCCCACTGATCACCAATGTAAGAAGCATTCTTCTCACTGACCCCCCAATGTAAGGGACATTCTTCCCACTGACCCCCAATGTAAGGGACATTCTTCCCACTGATCACCAATGTAAGGGACATTCTTCCCACTGACCCCCAATGTAAGGAACATTCTTCCCATGGACCACAAACATAAGGGGTGTTCTTCCCACTGATCACCAATGTAAGAAACGTTTTTCTCATTGACCACCAATGCAAGGAGCATTCTTCCCAATGACTTTCAATGTAAGGAACATTCTTTCCACTGGTCACCAATGTATGGAGCGTTCTTCCCACTGATCGCCAATGTAAGAAGCTTTTTTCTCATTGACCACCATTGTATGGAAATTTCTTCCTGCTGACCACCAATGTAAGGGGCAATCTTTCCATTGACCACTAATATAAGGAACATTCTTCCCACTGACCACCAATATAAGGAGAATTCTTTCAACTGGCCACCAATGTAAGGAATGTTCTTTCTACTGATCATCAATGTAAGGGATGTTCTTCCCGCTGACCACCAATGTAAGGAACATAATTCCCACTGCCAGTAATGTATAGGGGATTCTTCCCTCTGACCACCAATGTAAGGGGCATTCTTCCCACTGACCCCCAATGTAAGGAGCATTCTTCCCACTGACCACCAATGTACGGGGCATTCTTCCCACTGACCCCAATGTAAGGGGCATTCTTCCCACTGATCACCAACATAAGGAGCAATTTCAATATGACCACCAATGTAAGCCCTTAGTTATATGTTAAGGCCCACCCTATGTGCTGCTGCATAAGTGCGTTACATCGATGCGACAGAGTTAAGTAAACCTGCGACCAGGCTAAGAAACTTCAAATATTAAATATCCTTAATCAGAAAATAAGCTTTAAATGTGCCTTCACTGACCTCTGTATGTAAAGGATTTCCGGTGAGATGAATTGTGAAAAGAAATGCGCATGTGCTTAGGAACGTCCAGAGAAGAGTGACCGGTTGTGCGCATGCGCGCGGAAATGCACGATTGGGCACACGCGCGGGCGAAGATTGGCGCCAGACGGACTATTTAAAGGGTGTCCCTGCCCATGTTGAGTGCTGACTGGTCTTCAGCTCCCCCGTGTCCTGCTTGTTCCTGTGTGATTCCCTTGTTGCTGACCCGGCTTGTTACTGACCCAACTCTGATTGCTCTCCTGATTGATACTGGTTCCTGACTTCGGCTCTGCTCCTGACTTCGGCTTTGCTTCTGATTCGGTACCTTGCTGTCTGCCTGTTGATGACTGCGGCTATTCCTATGACACTGCTCCTATCTCTCACCCTCGCTTCCTGCCCTGCTCTGGTGCACACCTGGAGATCTACAAAACCAGCTTTGCATGTTACCACTGTGCCTGAATCAGAGGATCATCAGTCTTCCAAGGTCATCATCTGCAAGAGCTGCAAACAACAACTACTGGCGCTCTTGTCCCCCTGGTCCCTAGATACCCTCTGTTCCAACTCCAGTGGGGTCAGGTCTAGTGACACAAGTGAGGCCGACCTCATCATTTCAGTCTGCCATCAGGTACGTAACACTGTACCTGCAAGCACCGTGGATTAATTCATCCTCAAAAAAAGATTTTACAGCTTGTGGGTGAAGGTGGTACTTGTTGTCCATGATATTGATAAGATGGGTACCATATGGCCAATATTTGTTTATTCAGAAAAAGATGGCAACCTTAGTGAAGAGTTGGGTGCGAGTAGAACAAGGATAGATGGAAGATCGTCCTAGTGGGGACACAGAGGTCAATAAAAACCTGACAAAAGGTTCTACCCTTCCTCCCATCTTATCATTTTGGCTGTAGTCACTTTAATCTCATTGGTAAAAAGTTTCAAATAGGATATTTCGGTTTCCATCCTACAGCTGTTCTCTCGGTCTAGTTCTGTGATATACGACATTTGCAGCGTTCAGATGGCAGAGAACGAACTTAGAAAAAGCTGCTCTCACCATATTGTTTGATTCAGCAGAACAGACATGACTCTGCAGAAAGGAGGAAGGTGATGATAGTTTTGTCATTGCTGGCTAATTGTAAAGTGCGGATTTTCAGTCAACTGTAAATCGCTGCTCCCGGCAACTCTTCTGAACGCCGAGACAGAAGTCCATCTGTTACAGCGGAATCTATTTTCTTTTTTGATCCGGGGATTTTGCTTATGTCGGGAGTATTAGATAAGGACGCGGAGGTGACTGCGAAGAGAAGGCGCCAAGAATTATTTTAACTCCATGTAAGTTATGAAGCTGGTGCTGGATTGGTGCCACCATGTCTCCGATTCGGTACAACACAAGAAAGGCGTTATGTATTATACATGGAGATCATATCCCCCCTTATGTATTATACATGGAGATCATATCCCCCCTTATGTATTATACATGGAGATCATATCCCCCCTTATGTATTATACATGGAGATCATATCCCCCCTTATGTATTAACATGGAGATCATATCCCCCCTTATGTATTAACATGGAGATCATATCCCCCCTTATGTATTATACATGGAGATCATATCCCCCCTTATGTATTATACATGGAGATCATATCCCCTCTTATGTAGTATACATGGAGATCATATCCCCCCTTATGTATTATACATGGAGATCATATCCCCCCTTATGTATTATACATGGAGATCATATCCCCCCTTATGTATTATACATGGTGATCGTATCCCCCTTATGTATTATACATGGAGATCGTATCCCCCTTATGTATTATACATGGAGATCATATCCCCCCTTATGTATTATACATGGAGATCATATCCCCCCTTATGTATTATACATGGTGATCATATCCCCCCCCCCCCCTATGTATTATACATGGAGATCATATCCCCCTTATGTATTATACATGGAGATCATATCCCCCCTTATGTATTATACATGGAGATCATATCCCCCCTTATGTATTATACATGGGGATCATATCCCCCCTTATGTATTATACATGGACATCATATCCCCCCTTATGTATTATACATGGAGATCATATCCCCCCTTATGTATTATACATGGAGATCATATCCCCCCCTTATGTGTATTATACATGGAGATCATATCCCCCCTTATGTATTATACATGGAGATCATATCCCCCCTTATGTATTATACATGGAGATCATATCCCCCCTTATGTATTATACATGGAGATCATATCCCCCCTTATGTATTATACATGGAGATCATATCCCCCATAATGTGAATAATCACAGATCTTCATTCAAAATTGTGTGTCCACCAACGTCGCCACTGTGACAACAAATTGGAGGCTTACCAGATCCTTTGACCCCTTAATTATAGGAGGTTGACATGTGCTTTGTTGGAAACCATCCATGTACGCTGCCATGCCATAAACAGAACCATGGGGGTCTTCCTTTAACCCCCCTGGCGGTATCCCTGAGTGTAGCTCGGGGTTACGTTTCAGTACCACAAGCGGTAACCAAGAGCTACACTCGGGAATACACTGCAGCGTTGCTCTGGGATCGTTGGATCACCTACCTTGTCCCACACTGTCCTCCCGCTGCGTCTCCGGCCATGTCCCTCCGGCCGATGCCGGCATCCGTTTTCCAGGTTCTGTTCCCTGTGAGCGTCGGGATATACAGGGACAGCGGGAGATCCAAAAAGTCAAAATTTTTTACACATTTCCATTAGAAAAAAAAAATGTACCGCTTTGAGCACAGAAATACAGACATCATCAGACCGCTAGGGAGGTTAAAAGTCAGCAGCTACAAAAACTGTATCTGCTGACTTTTAATAAACACACACTTACCTGTCCCGGGGTCCAGCGATGTTCTCACCCACGCCGTCCCTTCTCTCCTCAACGGCACCGGCATCTCTACTGTGGGCACCAGGCTGTGACAGCTTGCGGCTTCACAAACTGGTGCGCACTGCGCATGCCCGAGTCGAGCCGCGCCTCCCGATTGGTCTGGCAGTCTCCTGGGACCTGTGAAAGTTCCCAGGAGACTGCGGGAGCAAGGAGGGGACCAAACTTCCCGGTCACTTCTCTGCAGCAAACTGAGCAGTAAGTGGGAGCGGGCACCTGTCAAAACCAGGTACCCGCTCCCCCCTCCAAAAGGTGCCAAATGTGGCACTTCTGAGTGGAACTCTGCTTTAAGCACTTTCACAGTTTGATTGAGTTGTTCACTATAGGATTTCAGGGATCGCCTAAAAGTGGGCAGAGTAGGCGATAGTTTGCTAGTGTGACAGGAGTCACTTTGGGTGGGGGGCCCATGGAACCCAGCTCACTTTGGAGAGGTGGGGAGACCCCTGTCTCAGCTCCCCATATCCCTCTTATGTGTAAGTCACCCTGTGTCTGTTAGGGGTACAGGGTGACCTGTCCTAATATTGTGTAGACATGTCTAGGAGATAGGTGGGGTGGAGTTGTGGATTGTTTGGTGTTGTGTGGTAGCATCCCATTCTATTGTGTATCTTGCTTGGGAGCAAACTATTATGGGATGTATGTGTTTTTATGTGTATTAGCTGAGTGGGGGGGGGGGGTGTCTCCAGCAGCCCTCCCTCCTGATGGGACTGTCTGCTGATGTGAAGTTTGAATACCTGTGTGTCTCTTGTTGCAAAGTATAGATTGCCCCACCCTGTGTCATTATGGAGGGAGGGGGGATTGTCCCCTGAGTGTCATGGTCAGCTGTGGTGTCTGTTGTCGGTGTTCAGACTGGGAAGCACTAGTCTAACAAAAGTTCCCAAGCACAGACTGGGTCGGTCCTGTTACAGCTAGATTGGGGTAGAGAGTTCCAGAGGATGGGGGAGGCTTTGGAAAAGTCCTGGAGACAACCCACTTTTCTCATCTCTTAGTGGGAACCTGGGACAACAACCATTCTGCTGCCAATTACAGTCGTCATTTCTTTATTCATTTGCTAATAAGGAACAACTTGCCATCATGGCTGCCTTGCCTGACTGTGGGGGGCACGCCTTGCCTGACTGCGGGGGCCCTCGTTGCCTGACTGCGGGGGGCACGCCTTTCCTGACTGTGGGGGGCACACGTTGCCTGACTGCAGGGGGCACAAGTTGCCTGACTGATGGGGGCACGCCTTGCCTTTAAGCACTTGTGCTTTGATTGAGTTGTTCACTATAGGATTTCAGGGATCGCCTGAAAGTGGGCAGAG